GTGAATATTTTATTTGGGCCATAGGAAAGGCACGGAGTTGACCGGTGGGCAAACGAGGCCCAATTACCGGTATTGGTAATTTAACGGATAACAGCCCGAAATGAGTTTCGGAGACTCCTAAATTAAGGTTGGGGAATATACATCTATTCTAAAGGCCCATAATTATTAGGAACACGTGATATATTTTATTTGGCCCGATAAAATAAAATATAATTAAAACGGACCGAGAAATACAACTTTCGGGACCGATTGTACACACCGAGACATAACGGGATGACCTCCCACCTAAGTGGGGGCCACCCCACGTCCCTATAGGCTCTAACAGACAAGGGGGGAGCTGGAGGAGACCATAGAAAGTGTGTGTGTGCGGAGTCATTAAGTGAAGGGATGGCATGAGTCACAATTGCCATTTTTAGGACCCTACTCATGCATTATTTTGCTTGATTGAGTAGAGGTACCTCCCCCCTTCCCATTCCACTCATTCAGCCAACACAAGAGAAGAGAGAAGGACTCCAGGAGGCTATCTCAGCAGGCCATAGTTGGAGGAAGCTAGGAGGAAGGAAATCCTAGGAGAAAACTAGCTAAGAGGAAGGTAAGAACTCATCTACCCTCTTTTAATTAGTTTTATCATGTATAATTTGTAAGAAATCATATGGTGGATTAAACGTGATGTTCTACACGTTTAAAAGTGTGGAATATTGTTATAAAGTGGTGGTAATTAACTTAGAAGGGTTGACAAATCGATAGGAGTCGAAATCGCCGGAAACCGCCACTTTAAGGGAGCTGCTCGTATCTGCAGAACACGAAAGCCGCCCGGCTTTTGCCCATCAGTCCAGTTTTCCACTTTCAATCGGCCTAGAACGGGGATTTATCGAGGGGCTTAGCAAAGGCAACTATTTCAGCACTCCATAAGGTGAGGATGGCTGACTATATTGCTTATAATTAGTGAGTTAATTTCATGAGATTACCGAAGGTAATTAAATGTGTTTTTATGGATTATTAATGATTAATAATGCCTAAGAATGAGAAGACTAATGTCTAAAGAAAGAGGAGCATGATATACACATTTAAGAGTAAATTGTGTATGATCATGTGTTATGAATATGTTAACTTGAGAGTGGAATTAATTATGAAACATATGCTGAAATATACTTTTTCTTCATATTAGAATATATGAGTGATTAAAAGTGATATTTTGAATATTGAGAGAAATGATATTTTCAAAGGAAAATCAGTTGGAATTGTCTATATGACTGTGAGTTCAACTTGGTTTGTTGGTATTAATTTGACTAGTATTAAGATACTAGTTGGACATTAAGTTGAAATGTCGTTAAGATTATCCTAAGGTTGGATTGTGAAATGTTATGCCTTAAGTAGTCTTAAGAGATGCTTTAAGGTAGGAAAGTATGAACTCTAAGTTATACTAGGGTAGGCCTTAAGGGATACCCAAGATAAAGTAAGTAATAAATTGATCCTAGGTATAGGATTGGCCTACGGGTGTGTTCGGTAGTCCTTGTGGATAGCCGGTTGAATTATGGAAATAAGTAAGGACCATGGCCCTTCCCGACTCTAGAGAGCGGGGTTGGATAGCATGGACTTACATCGTGATCACGGGTTAGGGTGGAATCCGAATCGGAGACCTAACTAGGTTCCGGTAGCGGTAACACATAAGATAGGACCCCGAATGGCCTTACCTTCATACGGGATGATGGGTATGAGTCCAGGGGCGGAATGTTGGAGTCCGAACCGGGAGCCTCATGAGGTCTCGGACAGCGGTAGCAAGCCCCGTAGAAATAATAAGACCCAAGGGTTGGGTTGTGCAAATGATAAATGAAAGGGAATAAATAAGAAGGGCCGTGCGTCGACAAATAAATGAATTTACTTATTATAAAGATAATGAGTGGAAAAGATAATTTATTATTTATATTATGATATCACCCTATTTTGAGGGTCTTGGAAATTAAAACGTTGATTATACTTAGTATAGTTGCTATTGTACTTGTCAAATGCTTCCAAGTACTGACCTCCCCCTTCACGGGGGAGGCCACCTCACAGTTTCAGGTAGAACTTGAAGGCTGCTACCATTGCCCGTTGCTTCGGGAGGCTCAAGGGAAGAAGACGTGGTTCATGCTTCTTCCGTTCTGTTTTAAAAACAATTACGTTAATGCTCATGGATACTATTTTCTGAATAATTACTTTGGAGGCTTGTATGCCTAGTTATGACAAGTGTGGCTTGAACAATTGTATTAATGCTTCCGCTGTTTTAATTGCATGTTTTACATTATGGTTGTTTATGGATGTACTATGTGTGAATGATATTCATGACGCTTTGTATAGTATGGATGAGTTGGACTGCGGTTGACTATTCATACTGTACGGCGGGTTGTTGACGTGTCCGGCTAGGTCCGGGGCGTGACACATTCCTTCAACAAAGACTTGAAACGCCTCCATGCGTCTTGAAAGAGTTCTCCAACTTGTTGTTTGAAGTTGAAGATTCGTTGTTGTAGCTCTTGCGTCATAGTTGGGGTGTAGTACTTGGAGATGAAAACATTGTATATTTCATCCCAAGTAGTATAGGATGCCGGTGCTTGCTCTAGAAACCACCCTCTTGCCGCTCCCTTCAAAGTGCAGGGGAAGCACTTGAGTCTAAGATCACCTTCGTTTAGGCCATTCCTTGGAACACCTTGAATGAACCCATAAAATTCAGTGATGAAATTTAATGGATTCTCCCCTGGTTGTCCATAAAAGTGCGGCATAGAATTGAAGTAGCTATTCCGCAACTCATAGTCTTGTGCCGCCTCGCTAAGCACGATGCAAGAAGGAGTTGTTGCAATGACGGGCCTCTTCCTTTCATTGAGTGTAGGAAGCATTGTTGGTGCTTTTGCTTCCTTCTTCCGATTCCTTCTACAAGCTCTCTCGATTTCAAGATTGATAGGTTCAAGGTTTGTAGAGCCTTGACTTCTCAATAGCATGCACTAAGAGCTTGTCTACACAACAAAATTTAAAACAATACCAAGTGAAATGTAAAGGGAAAATTCAGGAATTCTTGTTGAATCGTATAAAACAAAACCGTTTCCCCGGCAACGACGCCAAAAACTTGATCGGCTGAAACTTGCAAGTGTACAAGTGCCAATGTAGTAATAAATTCCGGTAAAAATACCGGGTCGAACACAAGGAAACGTTGTTTATATGATTCAAAAGCGAAAGCGGTTTAGTAAAAGACTTAAGAAAAGAGTAAAGATTTTTGGTTTTTTAAGAGATAATAAAAGCAACCAAGGATTCGGGATTACTCCTAAACGACTCCTAGTGATGAATATATGTTCTTTCGCCAATTCTTATGAGTGGAATGTCACTAAAGTATTCTAACTCCTGTTACGTCAGCGAGATTGTGATTAATTCTACGTGTGAATCCCGTCACGGTTCACATTCATCTAAAATTAACCCCATTGAAGATTTGGACATTATAAAAACCACCATACTCAATTGAGGTATATTTCTATCCACAATTAGAATATGTTTAACCTTTAAGTGCATGATTTATAACTTAACGTTAATTGCTCAAATAAACCCAATGATATAATCATATGTTGTACACCGTAGTCATACACATTAAAATATAAAGGAAAGATCATAATAATTTGGTTGAGAACATACATCAAACACCTAGAGTGCGTAAAGTTTCATCCCTAACCTTGGCTATAGAAAATTAGCTAGAACAATTCATAATGAAATTACAAGTATTGAAATTATAAAATACAATGAAATACATAAGAAAATGATACCACAACTCCAAAGCTATGGTGGACAAAGCTTTCCCCAAGTGTAGAACTTCTCCCAAGACCAAGGGATTGCTCTTGGGATGCCAAAGTAGAAGTAAAGTGTGTAGAATATGGAATATCGTATTGAGAGGGCTTCAATCCTCTTAAATATTGAGTTCTCAACGGCCATTTTCGGACAAGGAAGCACGCTCCTTAATGGGATTTGGTGTTTTGCCCGAATGATTGTGATGACCGTTGCTTGTTTTAATCAGCTCCAGGCGAAAGGCGGGCGACATTTGCAAAAGCCGGGCGGCTTTTGCGCGTTTAAAACAGGCTTCTCCGCTCCAGGGACCGAAAGCCGGGCGGCTTATGCCAAAAGCCGGGCGGCTTTTGGTTCGATTTATTGAATAAATTCCACGGCGCCCAAAGCCGGGTGCCTTTCATGAAAGCCGGGAGACTTTCGTCTTGTTTTGCTCCGGACGCTTTTCCTTCATCTTCGGACGACAACTGGATGACTGGTTGGTGAAAACCGGCCGGTTTTGGTGAAAGCCGGGCGGCTTTCACCCCTTTGGTGCATTTTCCTTTTTTTCCTTTTCTTCTCGGGATGCGTTTGGTTGACCTTTACTTGTCGGGATTCTTCGTGTGTCTTTTCATCCTCGTATTTGATCCAATTTTCGGTTATAGTATTTCTTGCAAAACGAAACATATGTGTGAGAGTTTTATTCTTTTAAGTATAAAAGCGTTTATAAATTATTGTATAAAATACGTTAATAAAACGCTTATCAGTAATAGTTTGAGAAAATTATCACGTGTATAACTAAAAGACTCCATCTTTCCCCATTTATGACCACATCAACTTTTATCCTTATTTTATGACTCACATGCTACATGCCCATATACGTGTTTTTTTATTTTTATTCTAATCCCACAAGTGCCCTCCTTGGGTTAAATGAATCAACGTTATTTCATCCTAAAAAACGGGAGTTGATTATTGGATGACATGCACACGTATTGGAATAACAGTTTAGAAACTCCACCGGTTACATAACTGAATTAAATGAATAAGGAAACTCACCGTTTAGAGACTCCACCGGCTAAATAATACTTGAATTAATTTAATACAAGGAAACTATTACCATTACTTATTCACAATCTTTATGCGCTACACGTTTCTTTTCATCAAGCGGAATTAAATCTTCTTCATCGACTCTATTCTCCAATTCCCATTACACTCGGTTGACTGAAGCATTAACAATGGAATCCGCAGTCGGCATATGTTACCCGGAGATGTGGATAATGATTAAATATGATGGCCAATGGGTGTCAGATACTTTGTTCTCTAGTATTCATGTTGCCGCCATAACTATTCCATTGAACTGTACGTTTCAATCTCTATATTCTTGTGTTTGCAATGCTATGGGTGAGAACTATGCCAGGAAGAATATTAAGATCTCATACGTTTTTGCTACGTGCCCACCTCCCATGAATGTATGTGATGATGCTAGTCTACTATTTTATCTACAATTGAAGAGTTTTCAAAAGGACCCGATGCAAATGCTGTTGTGTGTTGAATTTGTATGTGATTCTACGACCGGAGAGGAACAAAGCATCACAGTATGTGATGATATCCACAATTCAAGTGGAATTAACCACCCGAGTAATCCGGAAGAACGTGGTGACATTAGTGAAGAAGACAATAATTTCAGTCACAATGTTGGTATGGACATTGAATTTGACCATATTTCGAGTGCTGATATTATGAGGTTAAATTCTCATGTTGATGAAGAGATTCATAATATGTCCGTTTTCAACCATTCTGATCCCACACGCATTGCATTGCATAACATCTATGGAAGCAAGAAGGAACTTGATTTTCACTTAAAGATATATGCCATTACCAACTTCTTTCAGTACAGAACGAAGACATCTTGCCCGAAGGTTTTGCATGTTGTGTGTGTTGACCTCGAGTGCAAGTGGCCTGTGCGTGGTGTGTGCATCGATGGAGTCTCATTGTTCCAGGTCAAAAGGTATGCATTCATTTATTTTCCCTATTTTTAAATTATAATTACGTGCCAAGCGTGTTTATTACTGTCCTACGACCTATGTAATATTTTTTAAATACAAGTGATTGTGCATTTCCAACGACATTTAAATTTAATGTCCTATGACTGTCTTGTATTGGTGCTCTTTTTTTGTTTTTAAAAAAATGATTTTAGTAAAATAAAATCAGTATAACATTTGTGCATATATTTTTAATGCCCTCTGTGCAACTGTTCTAATGCCCTTACTTTTGTCTTAATCTCTGTTTGCATGTAAATGTATGTCTTAATTATGTTAGCACTATTGTAATACCCTTACTCACATATACTTTAATGCCCTTTGTGCAAATGTTATAATGCCTTGCTTTTTTCCATATTTTTTTTTGCATGTTAACATATCTCTTATTTAATTTTTCTACTGTCCTATGTGTATGGTGTTACTGGTTTTTAGTGTAAAAAAATTAATTTGGAAATTAAAATCAGTATTTTTATTTGTGTATATATTTTAATGCCCCGTGTGCTCTTGTTTTAATGCCCCGCGTCTTGCATTACATTTTGTTTGCATGTTAAAGAATCTCATTTTACCACTGCCCTATGTGTACTGCTATTCCTTCACTTTTAATGTCCTCTCCTCACTTTAATTTAATAGTGTATATTGCCAAAATATTTTTTAATTGCTACTGTTTTGTATGGCATCATACATTTTTTATTTCCTATAACAAATGCATTCACTTTTTTTACTAAAGATAATTCCTTTCATTATCCATTTTTTCACATATTTGACTCTGAGCACACATGCCCAATTGATGTACGTCAACGAAATAGCCGTTAGGCTACGTCTAGGATTATTGCCGAACTTATCAAACATGAGTACGGTGATGCATCCAATAAGTCATACCCTCCGAAATCAATTATGCTTGATATGCAGACAAAATACGGCATTTACATGTCATACAAAAAAGCATGGATTGCCAAAAAATTGGCAATGGAACTGGCTATGGGATCTGAAAAGGATTCATATGCACGCTTACCTTCAATGTGTCATGTGCTTGAAAGGAGTAACCCAGGTTCTATTGTTTCTTATTCGTGCAAGGAAAATGGCGAATTTAATTATTTTTTCATGTGCCTTTCTGCATGAAGGGAAGGTTGGATTCATTGCATTCCGGTAATAATTGTGGATGGGTCTCTTTTGAAGTTGTATTATAAGGGTACATTACTCACTGCATGTACACAAGATGCAAACAAACAAATATTTCCATTGGCATTCGGTATTTGTAGTGGAGAAAATACTGAAAATTGGTCATGGTTCTTCAGCATGTTGAAGCATTCGCTGATGCATAGGGATGATCTATATATTGTGTTTGATCGGCACGAGGGCATTAGTAGTTCCGTGCGTTCTGTATTTCCTCATGCGCAACATGGTTACTGTGTTTACCACATATTGGCTAATTTGAAAACAAGATTTCGTGGCACGCAAAAAACTGTAACATGGAAGTTTTTGCAGGCTGCTCGTGTTGGATCTGTGTACGAGTGTGAAGAGTACCTTCAAATGCTTGACAGTGAGTATCCACGCATTCGTACGTATTTAGAGCGGATGGGCCATGACAAATGGTCTCGTGCTTATGCTAGTCGAAATCGGTACTCGGTTATGATGTCAAACAACGCGGAGTCATTAAATGCAGTTAATGCCACTGCCCGAGAATACCCAATATGTAAGTTGATAGAGTTTATTGTTGCACGAATGCAAAAATGGTTTTGTGAACGGCGAGACTCTTCAGCTTCAAACAATTTTCGTTTATCTGCACACTTTGAATCTTAACTAACTGTTTTACAAGCTATGGCGGCCGTCATGACAGTATTGCCCTCTACTCTTTGTCTTCCTTTGCACTAGTTATTTAAAATACATCCCAACGTTATGCATTATTCAATTACTTTTACTGTACTTAATATTTAATTATAGTTTTATATGTTTAATCACACATTGCGCAGTTCAAACCATCATGTGCTTTTGAGTTTGAGGTGTTTGATAAGAGATCCCGCTCTTATGTTGTCAACTTGAAGGAGCGCACGTGCACTTGTCGAGAATTTCAGCTTGATGGGTTCTTATGTGTACATTCCGTTGCAGCTATTCGCTCCCGCCCAGGACTTTCTTGCTATGATTACATTTCAGAATTCTATACAGCACATCATTGGGCACAAACATACTGCGGTATTATTCATCCGATTGGGAGTCTGGATGGTTGGATGGTACCTTCACATGTTAAGCAAATCACTTGCATCCCCCCATCATGTGAATCACGACCTCCTGGAAGGCCGAAGAAAAGAAGAATTCCTTCTACAGGAGAACATGTTCGGAGTCAAAAATGCACTCGTTGCCTCATGGTTGGACACAATAGAAAGACGTGTAGAAATCCTATTCCGCTACACATGCGTTAAAAAATGTTTTTATTTGATGTTATCATTTGAGCATTTTTGCAAATGCAATCACATACACTTGTTTGATTTCTGAACATTTCCATACATTTGTCATACCTTTACCTTTGAAAAAAACTGCTAAGAATTAATGGCTCTTCGTTATTCATTGTCCTGCCTTAAAGGCATTAATTAAATCTCAAAATCACATCATCAAGGCTCATCATACATGAGGGCATTAATGTATATATGTACTTGTTCAGATTTCTGTCCATATTAATGTCCGTTCCTAATACCCTTCATCAGCACATTTGCATATACCAGATTAATCCCATTCACTAAAAAAAATACTTGTCGCACTTAATTCTTTTCCCACACACACACAGTCCAATCATTTACAACCATTACACATTGCCCACACAATAACCAATATATATAGTCAGTCCATCTATAAGTAGTGCAATAATATATGTCTACTCCAACAATACACATTTAAGAACAAAACATTAAAAGTTCAACTTGTGCGATAAATGTTCTAAAAAAATCAAAATCAAAAATCAAAACAATATTGCAATGTAATTTATCCACTTCTCGTAATATCCATCACTCTAAATTCAAAAAAAGATTCGTCATTAGTTTTCAAGTTTACGCTCCTATAACACCAAAATGAACTAGTACCTCTGTCGTCATCTTGTTGCGGTAAGCATTCAGTAGTTGCTTTTGTTTAGTATATATTTAATGCCCCACTGACCTACCCTTATTTTTTAAGTCATTATTTCACAATATGTCATTATACATACTCAATGTCCTGCATATTTAATTCCTCAATGTCCTTAAAATAACTTCTAAGTCATTTACATTGTTGAAAATTATCGTACCAAACTCAAGCTCAATAAACAAAACAGGACATACAAAACCACCATCACATACTACAACCACCAGTACATACAAAAACCACTAGTCTTATGTATAGCAAGCATAATATCCATAATATCCAGCTCTGCAAAATTAAAAAATCTTGGTCATTAGTTATTCAACGCTATGCGCCTATGACACCAAAATGAACTAGAAGCTTTGTCGTCATCTTGGTGCGGTATGCATTCATATCTTCTGGTCTAACGTACTCCACATCCTTGTCCATCATTAAAAACTCAGCCATCTTTAACACGAACATGCCACAACTGTCACTGTTCAACAATATAAAATTATCAATTCATGGAATCCTAATCATTTTAAATTAAACCATCGTTGGTCATTGACTTTAATCACATACCTATCGTTTTGTTGTGGGCATTCTTTCACCATATGAATCTGCAAGAAATCCTCCCCCATAGGCCCCTCACTACGCTCATTGTACACTCCTAGCTTATCCATTAGTCTCGGTAAAAACATTTGCAAGCTCGGGAGGTAATGGTGAAGGTGTATGTTTGTTTGACCCCGTTGAACACTAGAATCGTACACACGTATGCACTTCGCAGTTATGTCAAGCACTAGAAGTATCCAGTGATTACCTGCATTCAAAAGCATGTATACAATTCACCAAATTCTCGTTTTACAATTAAAGGACAGTACTTTATTATCTAAAAGTATTGTCCTTTATTATCACACAAATCTATCATTTATTCATAACTCACCAAATGAATGCAGTGGTTACCTGTATTCAATGGCATGTATACGTGCTCTGATTCAGCCCAGGCCAGTCCGTAGTCCAAATGTGTCCCAAGGATGACACCCATTATATTCTTATTTAAAGCGCTTTCTGACACTTGTGTTGCATTGGAAATGTGGTTGTCGTAATGCTGCTTTACCAAAGGCATAAACATAGTATCCGCTGTCATGAATTTCTGATGCAGCTTATATTGTTCAGCTTTCATTCTTAAGAAAAACATCCCAACCTCCACGTGCTTGACAAATCAAATTTAATGCATTTACAAATTATTAGTGCATGAGTTACTGCCTTTACTTGTAATTCTAAGTAATACGACTAAATTATCATGCGTAATTATGAAAAAAAATATTATTAAATAATATAATCTAACTGTGTCGCTTAACCAATTCTCGGGGAAATATATCGTGTAGTACCATGACTTCCTATCAAAGCTTGCATCCCCAAATGCTTCTTTAATGCCTTTGATCTTTAATCCATCATATCCTGATTTGTATTTCCTCTCCTTACTGCTTTTGTGGTTTTTAAGTAGTCCATCATGCATGAATTCTGATGTTTTTTGAAGCAATTCTGCAGGTGACATTTCTGATGGATCTAAACTAAATGGCCCCATTATTACATTCCTTACATCATCACCTATATCTTGCTCATTTCCCTTCTCTTGTTTCCTCCTCTTTTTCTGTTTTCGGGGTCCAGAAAATGTAAATCTATCTGGGCATTTTGTCTTTCCTTTTGGCATGCCATCAACTGCCAGCGGGGTTGAGTCCCCTGTGTATACCTGATCCATCGAAAAACAAAAACCTTTCAACAACTATTATGATAAAACTGCTATTAATTGAATTATGAGCATGACTATGAATGCATGACATTTTTACAGACTACATCTTCTATCTTAAATGCAATATTATGGCCTAACTAAATATATTTTACCACAATCTGCGAGTCTAGTGGTTCTAGACTTTCTTCGTTTGTTTCTGGGTCAATGTCTTCAATGCCCTTCTGATCTTCATTTTGCTCCACTTCGGCCTCTTTAGCATTTCTCTCTTCCTTATCCTACATGACCATCAAAACTCTTACAATCATCACTTAATGCACTAATTAATGAGATAATGATTACTTTCTCCTTCGTTCTTCTAGGTATGTGCTCAATTTCCCTATCACTTTGGTTAACTGCTCATTTTTTAAAACTAGTCAGTTTTTAACACGTATTAAAATTAAATTTGTTGAGTTTTGTTGAAGTGTTAATGTCCAGAATCGAGAGCATTAATCTAGTTTACTAAAACTATGGACATTATAAGCATTACATAGGCATTGGTGTTACTTAAATACTTTGAGCAGTATAAGGCATTATAGAAGCATTGCATCGGGTAAGAACAAGTTTAGTCAATTTTAAAATTAAGACAGTACTGACTATGGCCTTTAAGGAATAACAACAAAACATATGGCATCTAAAGTATTTTTCAATTAAAAGGTGGGAGTGTAGTCAATATTTGGATGTGAATAAGGTCCATGTGTTGTCGAAGTATGTTGTGAGAAGCAAAAAAAAAGTAAATAATAATAATAATAATAATAATAATAATGATGGGGTTACTTTAAAAAAACTTCAAAATTCATGTATCCAGTCCTTTGTAATATGATCAAATACTTTCCTTGTTTAGCTCAACATAATTTGTTGTGTTAGTGTCCTTGCAGGCATTATCAATATCTTCACTCACTTTAACCTGCACAAAATATTCACAATTATATAACCAGTTACTAACACAATCACTCTAAACAACACTTACCTTTTCACTTCCTTTTTCACTGCCATGTTGAGCCTCCATATTGCCCATGTATTTCTCAAAAATCACATCTACCTCCGCACATAGCAACTGCGTATCCAGCATTCCTATATCTTCAAAGATCTGAATATCAACATGCTCTTCTTTCTCTGTCTCACCAGTCATCATATTCTTTTCAATCAATTCCACCTCCTTAAGTAGCTGCTCAGTGTTCATTAATCCATCTACTTCCTTGAACATGTCATCTTGTGTCATTTGCACATCATCTTCCACCATCTCATTAACCGTCTCTGCTCTCTCACTGACTAACTCCTCAACTTCATCATGCTCATTACCTTTTTCATTGTCCTCTACTACATGTTCTTTAAACTCCATACCCAAGTCAAAATTTGGAATGTCTTCCTTATCTTTCATTGTTGCTTTCTTGGATATTTTCTTCATTTTTTTACGCTTCCACATCATGCCTCTACTAGCTAAAACCTTCGTCAACATGCTGGATTATTTCATTTGCAATTCACACAGCTTATCCACCTTAGATTCTAGCCTTTTTAATCTTTTTCCTTGTAATACAATGGCTGCCATGATATTGTGCATCACTTTATCTTCCTTCTCTTCATTTCCGGGCTTCTTTTTCCTGTTTGCTTTCCCTTTTTGCGCAGCCTGCCTTTTTTGTACTACATTACTGCGTGTCATTACTGCCTTGGCCATCACTCTACTACATCCCCGTTCTTCGAAATCGTCACTATCATTTCCCTCATTCACATCAACTTCATTAACATTTCTTGTCAATGCTTTAATAACTGAGTCCATCTTTAGCTCTTTTTCAGTGGGTTTCATTTCTTCCCATTCTACCTGCACATATAATTATAAAAATATTATTATATTACCCAATATGAAAAATACAACACTTACATTCAATTTTTTACTTTTCCCACCTGGTCATTATTAAATATCACATCCTCAACAACTTGTTGTGACGGCCTAGCAGGGGCTGCCATTGCAGTGTCCTAGGCCACATATTTGCTCTCGCCCTCCTCACAAAAACTTTTGCGTTTTCAAGGTCCGGGAAAGTCTCATATGCCTAGATCTGCAGAGCAAATATATATCCTGGAAATGTAAATCTTGCAGACGGCTCCTGGTAAAAAACACCTGCACATTTCCTGGTTCATGTAGATCATCCCACACAACATCACCCCATGGATATTTGTTGAACATTTCGATATCATCTACCAAATTAATGTACATCGATGGGAGATTTATTGATGATTGATTTCCTAGAATATAACTACCTAGGACATGCAATAAACCAAGCTTTACCGCGTCCATTGCCTCTGCTCCACTCTCTCTTGATTTCCCTGATTCAAAAACATTTTTAATGTCTCTTCGTGCAACTTTTTTCATTCCAGAGAAGTATCTTCTCCACAAATCGCCTGGAGCTTTACTGGATGTTATTGCCTTCTATGTACCAAACGGGAACTCGGTAATTAAAGCCATTTCCCTTTTTGTAAAAGATGCAACTTTGTTACCAATCAAAAATTACAGCTTTGTTTTGTCATTCTCTGTATTCAATCGCTCGACATGATTGGCGCAGAGTAGGATTAACAATTGCCCATTTACCCATGGTATGTTTCCCAAGTCAAGTATATAACCGAACACTAATTTCCTGAATTCTTTGAGCTCATCCTCATTTAAATAGGTCCTTATACTCTCCACTTCCTTTACTGTATT